AGATGTTATCGGCTCTCCTCCCGCTTCTTTGCCCTGGAACGATCAAAGCAGGCCACCGGGGCCGTGCTACCATACGGAGAGGCCGTTCGGAGTTAGGTAAGGCAGAACTGATACCGAACGCTCTTCCTGATGCAATCACAGCAGCTTGTGAGACTGGTTTCGGGGTTTTGAAAGGGAGAGGCAAAGACGTCCGTATTCGCTCGAGAGGGGGAGCGTGTGCTGCAGTGGGACAGGGAGGGCGTGCCCACCAGGTGCCCAAGTCACCGGCTGCCCAGGGTGGGTTCCTCCAGGGAGAGAGGAAGCCGCTTTCCTTCTGTGACCCCTCTTTCCGGCTGGACCTGCAAGGGAAAGGTCTAGGCGGGCTCCTGTCCTGAGGTTGCTTCTGGCCCGCTTACGCCAGGAGGCTGGTGTGGCAGTCTCACGGTGTCTGGCAGCACTGGCCTCTAATGTGGAGGGAGGCGTGCCGCTAGAAATAAAGGGCTAAGCGGCCTGATTTGGAACCTCAGATTAAAATTATGTCCCACCCATCTTCTCACTATGGTGTTGGGCCCCTCTGGCTTCCCCAGGCGTAAGTGGAATCTCCCACCTGGCGAACTGCAGAGTGGGCGTCTGCCTGGGGAGAGGGGGGCGTTGCCCGGCTTGTAGCGGCTGCACGTGCTCTGGAACGCCAGCAGAAGGGCAGTCCTGGGCCTCTGGTGGCCTCTTTCCCACTGTCCAGGCGTGCGGGTTGATGTTATGCAGCAGCACCCTCCCCCTGAGCGGATGGCTGAATACTCCTGTGGCTTTTCTGCACAGCAAGTCCCGCAGAATAATAATGCAAGTATGTGTTCACTTTGCGTCCTGCCTTTCATGCAGGAGCTCAAGGTGGCATCCGTAGCACGCTGCCCCCCCCGCCGGGGGTATGTTGGGCCGAGGGAGAGGGACTGGCCCAAAGTCTCCCAGGCAGCAGCTTCCATGGCTGGGGGGGCCTGGAACCTGGGTTTCCCCCTGCTAGTCCACCGGATCCCCCGGCTCTTGGGCAGAGAGGGAGGGCCTGGCTCAGGTCCTCCAGGGGACTTCTAGGGTTGAGGGTTTCCTTGGCCCAGGTCAGACCCATTCATCTGATTGTCACCTGAGGCGCGGCGGGGTGGGGCGGGACGGGACGGGACGCCAGCCCTTCCCTGGGCCTTCTCTTTCCTGGGATGCAGAACATAGGCCACGCTTGCCTGCTCATCTGTTCGGAATCAGTTGTACCGGGGCTGACGCTTTTAACCTTTTTCTAACAACTAACTGTGTAGTCGGGCTGCCAAGCTTGCAGAGAGAGTAACTTATTCATTGGAGTGGAAATCAAACAGGCAGTGAAGCCCTCCCGGTTCCTCTGTGAAAATGCTGATGGACTGCAGTGGAAGTACTGGAGTCGGTGGCCACTGCTCTCCGCTCGTCCGGAACCAGTCTCACCAGTCTGATGGCATTTAAAACAGACATGTGCACTGAATTTAATAGTGAGGGTATGAAAAAGATAAGGCTCTTGTGACCAGCAGTCTTGATGGGCTGGTGCTCTGCCTTCGCTGAGACCCTTTCGCTGTTTCAGTGCTGAGGGTGAGAAATAATGTTGCCTGTGATGAAGTGAATGGCCTCGTTGGATCGGCAGGTAGTGATTCGATTTTATTGTTTGTTAGAACGTATTTTGGCAGAACATAGAGAAGAAAAGAATAACAAACGTCTGCTGTGGCATATTGCCAAGCTTTTGTTTTCTGTGTTAAAGTGAAATTCTGGAATCTGTTAAAAAACACGTATCTGAGCACTGACCGAAGAGAGTCTTTCTGTGGTTCCAAAGCAATGACGACGACTCTTTCCGTCGCCATCCGAGGTTAAAGCCGAGAAGCCCTTTCTCACGCGGACCTTTCCTTCCTTCCTTCCTTCCTTCCTGGGCCGAGACTCCATCCTCCGTGGCATCAGTTTACAGCGGACTTTGAGGAGTGGTTGCAGGAACGGGTTGGACAGTGCCCGTTCGAGTGGCTTCCCCATCTTCTGCGGCCTGATCTGCAGAGACTGGACTCTTGCTTGAAGAGAGCAGTGCTGTTGCACCCGTGCTCGTCTAAGCGGAGAGAACAAGTGTTTTCTTTCCTAGATCTGGCGTATTTGCATGGGGGTATCACCACTGGAAGGACAAGGTAGTCTGGACCTAGTTTTTGGCTGGTGTCTAAGTTGTGTATCCTTTCTGAAATTAATTTAAGCCTTTGGGAGTCTTGTGATCTTAGATCAAAGTTTCCTAAACCCTTTGATCTATTCATTTCAGGATGGCCTTTGGATTAATTGTTCAGTGTGCCCTTTTCAAAGCGAATCACTCCTTTTTCTGCTTTCTAACGTGATGCATTTTCTAAAGGCTTAGAGCAGTATTCTCCGTGGCTGTTTTCTGATAAGCAGACGAAATTGCTGTGATTGTCAAGGGTGATGTGAGTGGGAATTAGAAGCAACTTATCTTTTTTTTTTTTTAATGTTTTTGTGTTTTTGGTGGTGGTGGGGAGGAACAGGGCTTGGCAGGAGTAAGTGACAAGTGCGTACTGCTGGTGAGATTGGAGGGGGTGTTTGGGGGTATGTGATTATTCTGTAACGCAAGTCCTGTGAGGAATTGTACAAGAATGCTAGAAGGTTGATCTGTCTGTCTCAGATCCATAGCTTGAATCCAGTACTGTAAGTGGCTGGTGACGTTGGCTTGCGTGATCCTCCTTCCTCCGCATCTAATGTGGAGGGCAGGGGTGAGAACTGTTTTCAAGCCAGCTCAGTTTTTGCATTTCTCCCCTTTCCTTCAAGTTATCCCTGAGGCAGAATTTCTTGGGATTGGCCAGAGGTGTATCTCCCACCCCACCTTAGCTTTAGCGGCTGACTGAAATAAAATATGGAAAACATATTAATTTGAGCAGTCTCCTGAATATTGATAGCTTATTGGAACTCAGATCTAGTTGTCCCATGGTTTCAACCACGAAAGACACTTTTTAGAGGACATTCTGGAAGAATCTAGAGATCATCATCCAGAGCAGCGGTTCTCAGAGTGTGGTCTGGGGACCCCTGGAGGTCTCTGAGACTCTTTCAGGGGGTCTGCAAAGTCAAATAAATATTTTAAAATTTCTCAGTTTTACTTTCTAGAACAGTAAATATTGATAGATATAACTCACATAAACCAAAGCTCTTAGGGGTCCTCAGTCATCCAAAATTTACTTGTTTGTTTATTTGATGTCTGTATCCACCCATCTCGGCAAGAGACTCTGGGCGGCGAACAATTGTAAAAACATAAAACAAAAAGAGTTATAGCCAATACAAAATAAATATATATGGTCATTGAGTAAAATTATTGCCCTAAGTGTTTGAGAACCGCTGATCTAGAGATTAAAACATCTTTGAATATCTCGCTCTTTATGCCAAGCCACCTGCCAGTTAAATGGACTGAAAGAAAGGGGCCATTCCTTCATCTTGGGATTAGGGGCTGTTTTTACAATCTGAATGCCAGCCTTGGAGGAATAAACCTAGCAACCAAGGCCTTTGGTCTAATTCAGCAGGGTTGCTCTTATGACATCTGCTGTTCGAATGTGAAAAATAATTTGGGGTACTCAAGAGTCATCTCAAAAACATTAACCTTCTGCCAAGGAATGAGAAGGAAGGTAACTAGAGAACAAAAATTAAGGTGGTCTTCTAGTGCTGCGGAGGAAACAGCCCGGAAGAGATGCTCATCTGGCGCAAAGGCACAGATCAGATGAAAGGTAATTTGAGCATTGGGAGGCTTCACACACAGGCGGCCCTGAAGACACCAGCCCCAGCCATCGGTCCTGCTGAGAAGGCTCTCTTGTTAAACCTAGCAGCCAGACACCCCGTTGTCAGCCACCGTAAGCAGAGTTACAAGAAGGAGGAAAATAAAGTGGAGCCGTTCTTTCTGGACATTAAGAGACGAAGACGATAGATGTCAGTTATTGCTTTGCTCAGGAATGTGGCAGCTAACAATCTAGGATTATTCTGCTCATTTCTGTAAAAAGTAGAATGAGAATTGGCTGGTGTGGGTCTTCCGGGCTGTGTGGCCGTGGTCTTG